GAAAAAAAAAAAAAAAAAAAAAATCCATGAGGGGAGGGACTTCCCTAGTGGCACAGTGGTTAAGAATCCACCTGCCAATGCAGGGGACATGGGTTCAGGCCCTAGGTCCGGGAACATCCCACATGCCACAGAGCAACTAAGCCCATGCACCACAACTACTGAGCCTGCGCTCTAGAGCCCGTGAGCCACAACTACTGAGCCCACGTGCCACAACTACTGAAGCCCACGCACCTAGAGCCCGTGCTCCGCAACAAGAGAAGCCACCACAATGAGAAGCCCGCACACTGCAACTAGAGAAAGCCAGCACACAACAACGAAGGCCCAACACAGCCAAAACAAAAACAAAAAACAAAAAAACATGAGGGGAAATGATTTTTATTTTCTTCTTTATACTTTTTAATACTTTCCAACATTTTACACATATAATTTCTAGCATCAGGAAAAACTGCTATTTATTAAAAGTCTAAGCTGTACCAATATACCAGGAAAGGGACTGTCCATGTCTCAGAAGATTTTCTCACTGTTCATTCTGCAGTGATGGATCCAGACCTCCACTCTCCCATTACCATGATTCCATCCACTGTCCACTGCATTCTGTCACCAAACCCTCCCCTTGGCATCCTAAGCTATTATTCCCATTACAAATTAGCTTTAGCCTTGGTTTTCTTCTCACCCACCTTTCCAAGACCCCTTACTCAAAGAGGACCCTTTCTGTGTGCCATGCAGTCAAAAGCGGAACATGGCCACTGGGTCAGTGTTTGCACAAGGTGTGCGAAGCCATCACACATCATCTTCAAACAACTTAGGAAGTGTTTCCAGATGAGGTGTACTTAGTAATCATGAAAAATTGCCCAGTCTTAACTTTTTAAAACTTCTATAAGAATCTCTAAGACTGCCTGTTTCCCTACCAGCATGGTGATGGGTTTTCCCAAAATGGACCCCAAGTGCAATTTGTTACTGACCTGATAAGAAATGTGGTGCCCGGTTCTCAGCAACAAAAGTGAGGCTGCAGCCCCCTCCTTCAGGGTAAACACCGACTCAGATTTCTAATCATTAGAGGCCTTTTACTATTCCCACAAGCTGCCGGCATTCTAACTAGCACTCCTTGGCCCAATCAGAACAACCCTTTTACGTAACCAAATGTAACCATTCTGTGCATGTTCTGCATAAAGTGTGGGCCGTGTCGGCCACTCTTGCTGCTAAGTCAAGGCACAGTCTAACCTCAGCCTGGCTTCAAGTCAAATGCTTTATTGTGTTTCACGGGCTGCCACTAAATCATGAGTTGAGGCAGCTTTGGAGCCAGAATGTCACCAGTATTTATTACTTGCTTTTTAGCATGAATCTCCTGTACTTGCTTCCCTGGGGGTAACATTCCTTTGTGAAACTCTAGTTCAATGCAAGAAGCTAAATCTCACTTCTAGTTCAGCCCTTAAAAGTCAATTTCCAGAGGGACGAGCAAAACGCGCAAGGAGACCTGACGACCTGGGTGAGGCTATGGTGGGAACAAAGGGTCCTCAGGCACCTGGCACAGGTGTCTCCTGCGTGTCCCCTTTCCTGGCCCTGCCTGTCTCCAGGCCACAGCCTCCCCTCCATCTTCACACCTCTCAGTCACAGACCCGCTCAAAGCCAGGGTCTTTGCCTCAGGTGTCGGATATACACGGCTATGAAGGCCAAAGCCAGCCTTTCCCCACCCTGAGTGGTCCTTGAGCAGGACCGTTAGCTTTGCTCACACCAGGTGGGGTGGGTTTGGAGGACTGGGTGAGACACTTTCTCTAGTACATAAAAACCAGCCACCCTGAAGTTGCCACGGTGAGCATCACAGGCTGAGAGACACGAAATACATAAGCCAAGGACCACCTCGGGCTGTCTCAGAGCTACTCTCCCCCAGAACACAACACAAGCAAACACCTGAGACCCTTGATTGAAACAGGGTCAATTACCAGTAAATCAACTCTTCCTCCTATAAAACTAAAACTTACTTTTGAAATATTTCCTCTTTGAAATATGACACAGAAAAGAACAAGATGTATCCTCACTACGTACTTATAACAGACCCAAGCAGCAACTTTGACATAATCTTTATTTCTATGTGATCTAAATATCAACCATGAAATTCTGAAACTTTGGAGGAAAAAAAAAAAAGCTAGGAAAAGTGTGGCACTCTCAACAAAATTTACTCATTATTTATTCAGCGAATATTTATTAATCCTCTACTACGCTCCAAGCATCGTGGCACCTAATTCTCTCATTTTATTAATTAAAAAAAACTAAGGCCCAGTGCAGTTCAGGGGATAACCAGCTAATCTGGGGTAGCGTGGTTGGGGCAGAAATCAAATTGGCAAGGATTTTTGCGCTCACCCTGAGCTGTTCACAACCTGTGAAGTCAATTGACCTCAAGACAGGCCTTAAGAAGGATCAGGTGCTTCTGTGGGATGGGCTGCCTCTTTTATGGTATCATCAAGCTAAGTGTTTATGGCATCATCAAGCTAAGTGACTGGGCCCAGTGCCTTGGCAAGTATAGGCACCTGAGAAGTATTTGTTGAGTGACTGACTACAAAGAAGCAGAAGGAAAGCGCTGAAGCTGGAAACTTGAAGACCCAGCAATCTTGCAGTTTGGCACTTCGGTTTGGAACAGGCAAATCGTGTTCCAAAGTGACTGCAACTGTCTGCAAAGTGCATGAACTGCCAGCTCTCCATTTTTCTAAGACGTCAGTGTTCCTTACTTTGGGATTTCAAAAGGTTTGCAACCACTGAGGTCTAGAACTTTGTTCTGAAATACTTTTAGTGTTCTCTCCTACATGGCGAAAAAGAGTGAGCACAAATGTGGGCAGATTCCAAAGCCAAGCTCATGGGAGAAACCCCAGTCATGCAAGGGTGGACCATGCCCCTCTTCAGGAGGAATCCCTCCCAGGTGCCACAGGCAGACATGTTGCAAGGAAGCTCAAGACAAGGTAGGTGCACAAAATAATTGCTGACCTCTTCTTCTCTCTCTGATCTTCCAGGGTTCTTCCTAGCCTTGCTTCTCTGGTTTTTCTTATTTTTCTCTTCCTTCATGCCTTTTACCATGGCCACGGGGTCCTGGACTATTTCTGAGGTGGGGGCCGTGTGATTGCTCATTGACCAATCAGAGGTGGCCTTAGAGCTCCAATGAGAGTTGACAGGGTTGGCAGGAGGCAAGAGGGAACTTGCCCCTGGAGTTGCATATTCTAAAGAACTGGTTTCCACAGGTTCAAATTCATAATAATCCCACTCCAGGGCACTGGAGGTCATTCTTCAACTAATTCTCAGTCTTTACCATGACATAAAGCACAGTATCTGTAGAACACGAAGTTAGGAGTAAATTCTTCATAACATTAACCTCCTCTATTGCTACCCATCACCCAAGACAGGTAACTTCTGAAATGATTTTTTTCCAATACTTAATCTCCCACCAGCTTCTTTAGAGAACACTCATAAAGAGTTTTCTTCCTTGAATTCCTACACGAGTTTCAAGGCTGATCAACAAGCACAGTAAATGTATAGAAGACACACATGAACCATATTCTGGCAAATGTATTACTTCAGAACTAGTAAAGATCAATTCTACCTTCTCCATTCCCAGCTGTTTCTACACTGTTTTGTTGTTGTTGTTCGTTTTGTTTTGTTTTAAGCTACCTGGGAGAAGCAATGTACGCATCGTCTAGACCAAGGTAAAGATGCAAAAAAAGATTTCAAGGGCTTCCCTGGTGGTGCAGTGGTTGAGAGTCCGCCTGCCGATGCAGGGGACACAGGTTCGTGCCCCGGTCCGGGAAGATCCCACATGCCGCGGAGCGGCTGGGCCCATGAGCCTGTGCGTCCGGAGCCTGTGCTCCGCAACAGGAGAGGCCACAACAGTGAGAGGCCCGCGTACCGCAAA